TGCTGCGTGAGACCTATTTAAAGTGCTGAAAAGCAAGGATGTTACTTTGAGGACTAAAGCGGGCCTGACCAAAGCTATGGTATTTTCAATTGCCTTATATGCAAGTTGGACATTGAATAAAGAAGACCAAAGAAGCATCAAGGTGTTTAAATTATGTTGCTGGCAAAGAATATTGAAAGTACCACGGACTGCCAAAAGAACAAACAAATCTGTCCTGGACGAAGTACAGCCAGAATGCTCCGTAGAGGCAAGGATGGTGAGACGTGTTCTCAAGGGCTTTGGACATGTCAGAGACCAGTCTCTGGAGAAAAGAACATCATGCTTGGTAAAGTAGAAGGGCAGCAAAAAGGAGAACCCTCGACAAGATGGATTGACGTGGTGGCTGAAATAGACTTAGCCATAAGAATGTTTTTGAGGAGGGTCAGGACAGGGCAGTGTTGTGCTCTTTTACGCATGACGTCTCTGAACGGTGTACTTGATGGCACCCAGCAGCAGCAAGAAGCAAGGCTGAGGAAACTTTGGGTTACTTACTGTTGATGGAGAACCAGGAGAGAACAGCCACTAAAAGAAGATGACGTACATGAAGTAGAGGATAGACAGAAAGGAAGGAACCCCTCAGTGAGATCGGTTTGCACAGTATCCTCAAAAGTGGGCTGAACCACATCAGATCGTGGAGATGGTGTAGGAGGCGCCAACGTTTTGGTTCAGTACTTATCAGATTCCTGTGAGCAGCTAAGCACGAAACAACCTCCTGAGAGTGCTGCACAGTGCCAGGCTGCCTCTATTGCTTTCTGCTCGGGTCCTGTGCCCTTGCATGGAATGAGCACATCTCCTGAGCGGCAAAAACAGCCAGATCGTAGGGCCTCACTTCAGTGCTTCCTCTTTAGGATCTCTTGGCTGCCCTGGTTGCTACTTGATGCATTTAACAATAACAACAGCAACAAGAAAAATTGTAGACAGCTTTTATAAACTGATCCTAGAAAGAGGTGTAAAATTAGTTTGATAGAAACTTCTTCAAAGCAGAAAGTCTCACCCTATTCTGAAACCTAATATTTTTTTTCCCTTACTGGCTTTCCTTAATAGTTGAAGTTTCAGTCTTTTTGTGTCTGCTCCATCAGTCACTGTTATCCTTCTGGTTTTCTAGCTTCCAATATTGTTGTCTCTCATCTCATTGTTTGATTCTTTTTCTTCTTCTTTTTGTACTTCTTCCTGGTTATGTGTCTTTTACTTTTGGATTTGGTGGTGCTGTGTGTTAGAGGGGTTTGAAGAGAGAGAGAGAAGATAAAGAGCCCCCCCACCCCCCACGCCCCGCCTTTTTCCTTGCCACTAAGTTTATCTTTCTTGCTTATTCTATTCGGAAATCCTGTCCTCTTTTTTGCTTTTTTCTCTTGAGGCAGTATTCTGATAATATAATTAGGGTTAATTAAACTAAAGAGAGTGGTGAATCCATTGTGATTTCTAGTCAGTATAATTCACTAATGAGATAGCAATGAGTTTTTCTCCTTTTGGACCCTTTAAATAAATACCCAGTTATTGATTATCCCCTTTTTTTATAGAAAGTGAGGCCTGTGAGATGGAGCATTTACTGCTGCTGGGCTCTTTAAAAATAGATTATTGGTGAAGGAAGTTGTTTACTTTGGTTCTCTTTAAAATTCAATTCACATTTTTATTGAAGTTATACATTCACATAGCTTAAAATGCCAATCTCTTTAAAGCTGGTTATGAATAATGGCAGCATCTGGTATCTCTCACTTCTTTTCTGCTCCTGTTCATTATGAATCATATTAGCCAAATTTTGACTATTACTGCCACGTCTTAAAAATGCGGTAGATGTTTATGTCACTGCTACTTAATTTTTCTCTTTTTGTTTCCTTTCAAAATCCCTTTCTGTGCCATGTCAGAAACAGGCATGCTTTTTGGGTCCATCCCCCGATATTATTGTGTTAATTTTATTAAGATCATTGATTGATTTTCATTTCATTAAATCCGCATAAACTTTCAGGATGGTACTTCTGTGTTTGGCACTCTAGGCAACTCCCAGGTTACTAACAAAATTGGTTCCCAATTGTATTTTGAAGTTGAGTTAGTTCGCACAGGTGCATATGGTTCTTATTCAGTCTTATTTGACTGCAAGAAAGAAGCCCCCTTGATACGGTGGCTAAGTGCTCAGCGGCTCTCCAGAAGGTCATTGGTTTGAACCCACCAGCTGCTCTGCAGGAGACCAATGTGAGAATGTGCTTGTGTAGAGTTACAACCTGGCTAACTGCAATGTGGGGCAGTGTCCTATAGGGTCGCTGTGAGTCAGAATTGACTTTGTGGCAGTGAGTTTGGCTTTTATGTTTAGCATAAGAAAATGCTTGAAATCTTTTAATTGATTGAAAAGCTGCACATGCATCAAGCAAAGGTGATCGTAATGAAGAATTTGTGGTAAGAAGGGGTTGGATCAATTGTTTCAAAGTGAAGGCAGATTTATATAGAACATTTCAAAGGGCCGTAAGAGTTGTCCTTCAGTTGGATGGACATCCTTAACATGGGATTGCTTGTTTTCTTCGTGAGATTGGGGACATTAATAATGTTTATCTCATAGAGTTATCTTGAAATCTAAATGAAATAATGCATGTCGATCTGGTGTAATGTTTCCCAGAGTGGGTGATCATGTCCCCTTGGGGTGCTGGAACAAGTTAACAGAGCTGTAAAAGCAGATAACTACACTTTATCCTGGATTATGGGCTACTGTACATAAGTTTTTAATTGCCAAGTGGTGCTGAGTAGTTTTTCTTAAAGGGCATTGGCAGGCCAAACCAGTTGGGGAACCATGATCTGGTACAAAAGAGGCACTTAATATCTAAGTTGGAATCGACTTGTTGGCAGCTGGCTTTGAGTAACTGTCAGTGTTTGTAGTGGTAGTTTGCTTTTGGTGTTGTTTATTGTGTATTTTTTATTTAAGATGGCTGCATATTGCCACCAGCTCTCCCCATAGTCATCTACAGTCTTAATGCTTAGCATTTTTATTAGCATCTTAGAAAATATTCTAATGACATCACTAACTTATTCAGGCTTGAGAGAAGTTCCTTTATACTCTGTAAGCAACTTTAATTTTCTTTATATGTTATAGAACTGAGGGTTAGCCTTTCCCAGAGGGATTTGGAATTAAGTGCTTCATCAAAGGTGGATGCTGTGTATGGGAACTACAGACTACCAGACAATGGTGGCTTTCAAACCATTAAAAGATCTATCATTTACTTAACAAAACTCTGTAGGTAAGAAAAAACAGGCTCAGAACTGATTGAGCAACTGTGCACTGTCATCAATGCTTCACCGCTGAGCACATTGGTTTCTGTTCTTACCCTGATTTTTTTAAATTAAATACTTTTATTAGGGGCTCATACATCTCTTACCACAATCCACACAATCATCCATCGTGTCAAGCACATTTGTACACATGCTGCCATCGTCATTTTCAAAGCATTTTCTTTCTACTTGGGCCCTTGATATCAGCTCCTCATTTTGCTCCCTCTCCCCCTTATGAACTCTTGATAAGTTATAGAGTATTATTGTCATATCTTACATCATCCTTTGTTGCCCTTCACCCACTTTTCTGTTGTTTGTTCCCCTGGGAGGAGGTTATATGTTGATTCTTGTGATCGATTCCCCCTTTCTCCCCCCACCTTCCCCTTATCCTCCTGGTATCTCTATTCTTATTGGCCCTGAGGGGTTTAGCTCTCTTGGATTCCCTGTGTTGCAGGCTCTTCTCTGTAGCAGTGTGCATGTTCTGGTCTAATGATAGTAGGGGGAAGGAAGCATTAAGGAACTAGGGAAAGTTGTGTGTTTCATTTGGTGCTATACTGCACCCTCACTGGCTCAGCTCTTCCTTGTGACCCTTCTGTGAGGGGATGTCCAACTGTCTACAGATGGGCTTTGGGTCTCAACTCCATGCCCTCCCCCCAGCCCCCACCCCAAACAAATCACGTTGGGTATGATTTTGTTCTGGGTCTTAGATGCCTGATACCTGGTCCCATCAACACCTCATGATCACCCAGGCTGGTGTGCTTCCTCCATGTGGGCTTTGTTGCTTCTCTGTAGATGGCCGCTTGTTATCTTCAAGTCTTTAAGACCCTAGATGCTATATCTTTTGATAGCCAGGCACCATCAGCTTTCTTCACCACATTTGCTTATGCAGCCATTTTTTTTCAGCGATTGTATCGGGAATTTTACCCTGATTTTGTTGAGCACATCTTTCACTATTATGTTTGCATTCAAGGCTAAGGAAAAGGGACAAGCAGTGATGCTAGAATTCTCTTCTCTTGCTGTAGGCCCTTTATCAAGAAAGTGAAGCTTTCCCTGAAGACCTTCGAGAAATTCCTTGTTTTTTCTCTTTTTTCATCCTGATTTATTTCTACCTTTAAATGACCCCTATGTCTTTAAAAGTAAATAGAATAATGATTTTGTGTGTGTATCCTATACTTCAGCAATTTGGTAGTTCAAGTCACTTTTAATCGCACCTTTCTTTCTGACATACATGTTTATTCATACTATAATGAATTGGAGCCTTGGTGGTACTGCTGGGTAAGCATTGGACTGCTAATTGCATGGTCAGCCATTCAGACCTGCCATTCAGGTGGCTGAGTGGCTGCCCCTTGGGCTGCTAACCACAAGGTCAGCAGATCCCAAACACCAGCCACTCCTTGGGAGAAAGCTGAGGCTGTCTCCTCTTGTAAAGAATCACAGCTCAGAAACTTGTAGAAGCAGAGTTACCCTATCCTATGGGGTCATTCTGAGTTGGAATTGACTAGATGACAGTGATTTTTTTTTTTTAATCAACTAGCCTCAAACTCTAGATAAAGGTGGCTGTGCATAAGACTTGATGGCCTTGAGTTTTTGTTGGGAAGGTATGTGTTTAATTTTAACTTTGGATTGTATGTTTTGGGTAATTGACCTGTTATAATTAATACTGATATGTTTCTGTTAATTTAAAATTGTTTTTTAATTTTATTTTGCAGTAAATTCTATAAAATTTCATCCCTCAGAGCAGTTGGCGCTCACTGGTATGTTGATTCTTTTTCTTTTTTATTAAAGCATTATTTATAATAATCCCAAATGTATACAAATACTGTTTTATCAGCATCAGAATTACCTAGCCCTTTATGAAGATTAGATAATATTTAGTTTGTATTTTAGAAATTTAATGAGAAATAAAAGTAGAATATTACTAAATAGTAATATTTAGTAGATATTTTAGGAATTAAATAAGAAATAAATAAAACAGACTAGTACTTTTATTTATTTTTTCTTCTTTTTTTTTAACATTTTATTAGGGGCTCATACAACTGTTATCCCAATCCATACACACATCAATTGTGTAAAGCGCATTTGTACATCGTTTCTCAAAACATTTTCTCTCCATTTAAACCCCCGACATTAGGTCCTCATTTTTCCCCTCCCTCCCCGCTCCCCCCTCCCGCATGAGCCCTTGATAGTTTATAAATGGGTATTTTGTCATATCTTGCCCTGTCCGACGTCTCCCTTCATCCACTTTTTGGTTGTCTGTCCCCCAGGGAGGAGGTCACACACAGTTCCATGTAATCGGTTCCCTCTTCCCTACCCACTCTCCCCTTACCCTCCCTGTTTTGCCACTCACACCACTGGTCCTATAGGGCTCATCTGTCCTGGATTCCCTGTATTTTCGGTCCTATAGGGCTCATCCGTCCTGGATTCCCTGTATTTTCAGTTCCTATCTGTACCAGTGTACCTCCTCTGGTCTAGCCAGTCTTGCAAGATAGAATTCGAGTCATGGTAGTGGGACAGACTAGTACTTTTAAACAAAGCATTTTACTGGGGCTCTTACCAAAATCGATCCATTCATCCATCCATTGTGTCATGTACTTTTGTGCATATGTTTCCATCATTTAAAAAATATTTTCTTTCTACTTGAGCCTTTGGTAGCAGCTCCTCATTTTTTGAAAAGTAGGATAGTACTTTTTTAGTTGCATGATCACTTAGATTAATTTGAATTCATAGTGAGCTTTCACAAGGGTTTTATTATTGTCCACTTTTTATCTACTCGTGCTATTAATATTAATGCTAGTTTGTAGCATTTTTTTTGAAGCCTTGTGATTATTGCCATTTTTCTGAACCGTGTATGAATCTGAAATAAAGAAATGAGAACGTATAACATTGAGACTTGGGAAATGTGGTCCCCTTTCGAGATTGTCTGCCTTTTTTGTCACAGGTTGGATTATAATTACATTGTGATTTGGAATTTGTCATACTTTGTCTTTTATGGTGGCTTTAAAAACACACTTTCATTTGTTGCTTTTGGAGCATAGCATTATTGTACTGAGGATCGTTTCCTGTAAAATTTAGTATCTTCCTTAATTACATACAAGGGGGCTTCAGAAGGCTCATGGAAAATTCCACTATGTTTTAATTCCATTTTGTCATGAACTATTAGATATCACCTTGTAAGACTATACAATTGTCAGACACATTTAGAACCATGTGCTATTTTGGAGGTACACTAATGATAATCTTGAAGGATAACTGAGCTGCAGACAAGAGGTTGGTGAACTTCTGAAAAAGGCCAGATAATAAACATTTTGGCGTTACTTGCCATATTCCCATTGTTATAGATCTTAAATTCTATTATTATATATAGTTCAAAAGCCACAATAGAGAATGCATAAGTGATTAAATGTGGCTTTGTTCCAGTAAATCTTTATTTAATATGGTTAACTGCCTCAGTTTGGCCAATGGACCAGATTTTGCTCACCCTGGGATAGAGCACAAAAGTAAGTATGTGTTGCTTTTGTACAGTTGGAATTGTTGAAGCAAGGAATCTAAGAGCTAATATGTAGTTTTCAGTGTGCTTCAGTTGCAGCAATAACTCAACTTATTCACATAGGTTTGGTTTTGTATACTAAAGGACTATGAGAAAAATATTGTCATAATATAACAAACTTGAATTATAGTAGCTTACTTTATACCTTAATAAATATTTGAAGACTAAAGTAGATAGAACAAGGAGTTTAAATTTTATTAAATTGACAGTGATTTGGATAGGGAATGGGGCAGACATTTAGCCATGGAGACAAATGAAGAGATAATTGAAAGTGTCCAGATTTTAATTGGAAGATTAGATCGAAAGAAGATTCAAATCAAGGGACATTTTAAAAAGGAAACTGAAAGGAACTTCGAAACAGGTTAAGTCATGGGGCTTGAGAGAGAGACAAATCAGAATAAAATATGCATATGATTTTGATTCAAAGAAGTGGGAAGTCAGGAATAAATAAATTCATTTGACATCATTAACAAATTTAGTCATCAATAGCCTACTGTATACAACAACTTCCTTTGGAAGATCTGTAGTAATAGAAGAGAAGGTCTAAGTTAGAATGCTTTTGTAAAACTGCTTTTGTAAAAAAAATGGGAAAAAGTAGAACTCATCTTTTTGAATATCCTGTTGGATGCACGGAACAAGCATTGGAACATGAGGTGATGATACTACATCATGGCATTCTTTTCTGACTCATCATTTCTTTAAATGGTTAAAAAAGGGGAGAAGAACAAACAAAATATTAGTACTCATAAGGGCCTATCAATTTGTTAGGTCCTTAAAAACTTTCAATGAATGAAAACATGTATTGATGTATTATTTTTCTGAGATCCATCAGAGTCTGTATAATCACAAGTTACAGTGTAATAACCCTACTTAAATAGATGGAGAATAAAATCTACTGTTTGTAACTTTTCTCTGAACCTCTACCCTAAAATGAAATGGGGGAAATTTTCTGTCTATGTTAAAATGAAACGGGGGGAAATTTAAAAGAGTAAATCATGACCTAATTTACTCATTAACTGTGTTCTAAATAGCATTCTGCCATCTCAGAAGGAACCATTTAAATGAAGCCCATTTGTCTTAAATGACTGTTAAGTTACTGAAGTTTGACTAATTCTGCTCAGCTAAGCTTAGCTCAAAGCGTTTTCTTGGATGGTGTGCACTTGAGATAACTTCTCCTATTTCTTCTCTTCAGCTTCTGGAGATCAGACTGCTCATATTTGGAGGTATATGGTACAACTGCCGACACCCCAGCCAATTGCAGATACTAGTGTAAGCAGCTCATTTACTTACCCTGAAAACTCAAAATGGGGTATGTTGGTAGGATTCTTGAAGTTGTGCAAACGTTAGAAGAAATTTGTAATATCTAAAAATACCTTGCTTATGTTTATATAAATGCCTATATTTGCGTTTTCCTTCCTTCTGACTAATACTAAATATTTTCTATGAATGCTTCTTAATTTTTATATTCAACTATATTTCCTGATATTTTATGTATTTAATTTTAGGCAATATGTTTTTCTCTCATGGGTTCCATTAACACTTAAGTTAATACCTTGAATGACATTTTTTTGTTGGTAGTAAAACTTGTTTTCTTAGTGCTCCCTCTTGTGCAGGAACAGGTGAGGGTGGGACAGACTACCTAGGTAGGTGGGGTCGGTGGTGAATAGCTAGTAGCATCTTACGGTCCAGGACAGAGCCTAGGCCTGGCTACCACAGCCTGGAGGAAGCTCTATGTTGTCACTTCTCATGGGGATATGGGGACAGAACTGTACATGGCTGCCCAGTGAGAACCAGGGGATGCTTGCGCAAGGGTTGGTGACAGGACCCAGCAAGCACCATATCGTCCCCTGTGTGGTACCCTGGCCCTCCTGCCCATGGATGGGGAGCCCATTTCCCCAGGCGAAACCACTAAAGACATTTTGAGGTCATTGAGGGGACGAGTTGGAGCTACCCATCCTGAAAAGATGCTGAGGACAGGAGAAGGAGGGTTTCCAGGGATGAGGGGGTGCGCTTGGGCTACTCTAGCTCTGGGAGACTGGGAGGCCCTTCCTTATAGAAGGTGGTGGGGGCCAAGTACTGAGGCAATGCAGGGCAGAGGGAAGGCAGCGATGGGTGATGGCAGGTTACCTCAGCAGGGACCATGGTACAGGTGGTACCATGAGAGGGTGAAGTGCTGTAGTCATCCTCTGTATTTGAATAGTGCCAATTTTTGCATAAAGACTTGATCATTGGAACCTAACCAGGTCGATAAGTAAGAAGAGGGTATATTGCCAAGGAGAAATTCTGTTTGTCCTTTTTAAAGAGTGGGTAATAGTCTCTTTCAGTTATCATTGACTGTAGGTAAAACTTCTTAGATTGAAAGCAATTCGTTTTCTTAGATGTTTTGGGGTAATTTTGTCTGCCAGCTTGTCTGCTTAATTGTAATCTTAGATTTAAAAATAAACTTTAATAATAATTAATCACAATCGATCTACAGTTTGAATTACTGTGGCTTTTGTACAGCTTATTTCTCCTTTTCACGTGTATCAGTCAGTTTGATCTGGCACCTACAAAATGTTGATAAGTATTTGGGTGGCGTTGTGTAAACAACTTTAGACTACTGTAGTACTAAATAATTGAGTCACTGAGTAGTTATGTGGTAATGAGCAGTTAATATAGCTTAGTACGCTTGAATTTTCTCATTTGTAAATGAAAATCGAAGTGAGTTAGGTGGTGCCTAATGACTCACTATTGAAATACTATACTTTAGTCATTCATTGGTTCTGTAGACTTTTAGTTATCAGCATCCTAGAAATACTAAATGAACAATTCTTGAACATTCTATTAAAATTTTGCTGGCAATAAATTTGATCAAAGTTAAATAGCTTAATGATCTCTAAGATGCTGGCAAAAATTTGCATAAACAATTCCCACTTTTTCTACCCCCTGCTTTTCACCAAATTAAGGTTAAAGGAGCTTATATACATTGAATATGACCTCTAGCATTTATACTCACAAAGTATCTATCAGTTCCTTGTTTCATTTAGAAAATCACTCTGGAAAGGTGCTAACCTTGTTTTATCTCTTAAGATATGGATCCCGATTATAGGACTTTTAAAAATGGGGAATCTCATTCCACACATTTCTGTCCTTAACTGCATACAGTGAATGCCTTAAACTTACCTCAAACTTAATGTAACTGAAACTGAACAAACAGCTCGTCTTACTCTTCCAGTGTTTACCTTCTCGGGAAACACCACCATTGTAGGCCTAGACTTTGGTTTCCTTCCTTTAACAAATATTTACTGAGTTGTCTTTTAAGTTTCATAGTCTGTCCTAGGTCAAGGGAACAGCAAATTGATAAAATAGATCAGAAGCTTGGGATTGTTTTTGACTTTGCTCTATTTTTTTCATCCTTTCCTCCCTCCCATTTCCAATTGACCCATAGAATTTGACTGATATTAGCTCCTGAATAACGTTCGAATCAACTTTTCTCTGTCCCTATGATACCACATTCAGAGGGTTTCCACTAACATTCAATGGAGTGGACTTTTATAGTCCACAATTGGCAGGGAATCGTACTGAATTGAAGGGTATCAGACAGAAAACAGCTTGCCAGTGGGGGCAGCATCATGTTTACTCATTTGAGCAGGAAACCCTAGGAACTACGCTTTCTCCCTCCCCTTTAGGGGGCAGCTCAGGTGTATTTGAATAGGACTCAGAGGAACAGGTAAGGTAAGGGAGCTGCTCTAGCTTCGAGTATTCATGTCCCACAGGAGCTAATGCCCCGTAGTTACCTGTGTCACTAGTCACAGTCTAAAGTTACAGCATTGTATTCATAATAAATTTATATTTCTTCCCAGTGTAAATGCTGTGTACCAGTCAGAGATTATTTTTTACCATAAGAAAATATTGCCTTGTGACATTCCAACTCTGACTCGATTTTTAAGGAACAAACATCAAAATCTTATCTAGAAATGGAAAGGGTTACGTTAATCCTTTACCTCCCTCCTGGCTCACAAACTGTTGTCATTTATAGCCTGACTTGTTTAGTAGCCTGTAACCAGTCTTGCATCTTGTTGCCCATCTTCACTTTTCCACATTACATCAGAAGCCATCTTTCCAAAAAACAAATGCTGTCGCTTGAGTGACTCCTTTGATAAGAAGTTCAAGATCCTTTCCCTTTTATGATTGCCCCACGCTGTCAGTTTGTCTGACTGTGATGGTTTATGTGTTGATGTGATCCTGGAACCCATGACACCACTATTTCAAATATCAACCGGGTCATCCCATAGTGAACAGATTTCAGTGGGACTTCCAAACGAAGAACAGACTACGAAGAAGGTAGACGATCCACTTCTGGGGCATTAGCCACTGAAGACCTTATGAATAACAGTGGAACAGCATCGAATGTAAAGCTGAAAGATGGTTTTCTCAGGGTATAGAAAGCACTAAAATTCGACTGGAGAAGACCTGCCTCCTCAAAGTGGAGTTGACCTTCATGACATGAATGGAGCAAAGTTTATGGGATATGCATTTGCAGATGGAACATGACTCAAAAGAGAAACAACTGCAAACATCTATTAAAAATCAGAATGCAGAGTGTGTAACGTATGAATCTGGGAAAGTTGGAAGTCATTAAAAGTAAAATGGAATGCTTAAAGTTTAATATCCTAGTGAGCTGAAATGGACTGATAGTGTGTGTTCTATTCTGGGAACGACGCTCAAGAGGAATGGCATCACGTTCACTGTCCAGGTGCATCTTGAAATACAAGGCTGTCTGTGATAGGGTAATGCCAGTATGCCTAGAAGTTAATACAGTTAATACAACTATCCAAATTTAATGCACTAATCACTGAAAGCAGTAATGAATAAATTAAAAAATTCTACCTACTTCTTTTGTCTGAAATCGATCAAGCATGCAATCAAGATTCGTTGATAATTACCGGTGACTGGAATGTGAAAGTTGAAGATCAGTAGTAGTTAGAAATCATAGTTTCAGTGATAGAAACAAAGCTGGGGATTTCATGAAAGAATTTCACAAGACGAGTGCTTTTTTGTTGAAAATACCTTTTTCAAACAACACGGACACTAACTACACAAATTCAACAATTTCCATATGTACAACTCATCGACATTGATAACATTTTTCAGGTTGTGCCACAATTCTTACTTTTTCCAAATTATTTCCCCACCAGGAGCATACATTCATAGTAAAAACTTTCTCTCACCCTCCCCTTGCACTCGTGGTAATCACTAATAATTTTTGGTTTCTATGTTTGCTTATTTCATGTAAGTGAGATCGTCTAGTATTTGGCGATCTGCTACCGACTGACTTGAGTCAGCATGATGTCTGCTAGGTTCACCCATGGTTTAGCAGCAGCATAGCTTCATTCCTCTAAAGTAGACTCTGCTCGGATCATGCTGCCAAAGCCAAATAGTGTTTTCTTTCATTTCCAAATGTTTAACCACACTTTTCGTCTCCTTTTAGTAGGCCAATGAACAGCCATATGGCTATTAGTGTACATGTTGGTTTAGAGTGCTGCTTTCAGATCTGTGGGTTATAAACCTAAAAGCCAAATCACTGAAATAGAAATATGGCGTTTCTTTCTAAGTTAACTGTTTGAGGAACCATCAACTGTTGCCCACAGTGGAGATATCAATTTACATTCCTTTCAGCAAAGGACAGGAGTTCCTGTTTCTCCACATCCTTGCCAAGACCTACTGTTTTCTTTTTTAAAAAGTCATTGCCATTCTAATGCAGATGAGATGATATCACATTTATGGTTTTTATTTGCATCTCCCTGATACTGACAGGCCCAAAGGCCCAAAGAGTAAGCATGCTGTAGGAGAAAAGATCTGTCAAACTGTCAGCATAAAGGGTACAGTTTAGAAAAGCCGATAGGGTACTATACTCTGTGAATTGGGTTACTATGAGTCAAAATTATACTACAGTAACAGCCAATGAAAAGGAGCCTTGCAGGCTGGTGGCTCCATGGGAGAACAGGCCCTGTGATCTGCTCCCATAAAGAAGACAGCCCGTGAACCCACTGGAGAGTTCAACTCTGTCATAGAGGGCTGCTTTGAGTCAAGTCTACTGGAAGGCATTCGAAAATAACAGCAATGGTTAATGACATTGAGCTTCTTTTCAGGCGCTCGTTGACCACTTGAATATCTTTGATTAGCTATCTGTTCAAGTCTTTTATTCATTTTTTTATTGGGTTTGCATTTTATTGTGAAGTTGTACAAGTATTTTGTACAATTTGGATAGTAGATCCTTATGAGATGTGTGGTTTCCCCAATGTTCTCCTAATCTGAAGTCTGTCTTTTCATTATTGATAAAGCTCTTTGATATATAAAAGTATTTAAAATTTAAGGGTTTCTATTTTGTCTTTTGCTTCTCATGCTTTTGTTGTCAGATTTGATAGTCTTATCACAGAAAAATAGGCCCCACAGCTTTCCCTCTATATTTTATTTTAAGAATTTTGTGGTTTTTGTTTTTGCATTTAAATTCTTGATCCATTTTGAAATGGGTTTGGGGTTTGGTATGAGGGTTGGCATTGAATTTGTTCTTCTGCATGTGGAAATCCAATTTTCTCTGTACCATCTACTGAGTAGACTCTTTTTTCCCCCCTGTGATGGATTTAGCAAAATCAGTTGATTGTGTATGTATTTATTTCTGGATTTTCAATTCTGTTCAGTTGTTCTCTATGTCTCTTATTATACCAGCACCGGGCTGTTTTGATTCTTGTATGTTTTGAAGGTAGGAACTATGAGTCTTCCTGCTTTAGCCTTCTTCAATATTGATTTTGCTATTCAGGGTCCCTTGCCCTTCTGTGTGGATTTGAAGATTGATTTTTCTTCAGTTTTGGTGGAAATTATGTTGGCTTTCTAGTTAGTTTTTTATATATGCTGGTCTACCGGCACTGATCGAACTAAGGTCACCTCCATATCGCCAAATCCAATAGACGATGGTCAACCCCACTTCTTACTCTCCTTTGTAGTAGCTCAATACACCTGAATATCTTTCTTGGAAACACTTTCTGTGTTTTTCTCTTGTTCTGTTCTTCACGGACTATTCCTTTTCAGTCTTGTTTGCTGGGTCATTTTCCTCTTCCTAATGGCATGTTCCAGTTCTTTTAGACTCAGGCCTCTTGTTTTCTTCCTGTGCTTATTCCCTAGGTGATCTCATTCAGCACCCAGGCTCTAAATAGCATCTGGGTGCTTCCAACTCCCCAATTTACACGCCAACTCCAACTTTTTAAAATTGTAACTCCAACTTTATATACCTATGTATTCAGTGTCTACTTGAATAGAAACTAACTTGTTCGTATTCATCTCAGGAAATGTCACCGTATTCACCCAGTTGTTTAGATCAAAAACCTCTAAAATGAACTGCTTTTTCTCATACATCGTATCCAAGCTGTCACTGAATCCGAAAGCTTTATTCAAAGTACGTCCTAACTCAAACTTTCTTTTCATCTCTGTTATTGTTTTGGTTGTTAGGTACTATGGGGGTCTGCTTCCCTCTATTACTGTCGCCTTACTCCAAGCTACCCTCTCTTCCTGAGATGTCAATAATTACCCCTATCTGCTTCTCTCCTTTCATTTCTTGCCTTGCTAATGTTCCCTCCACAGAGCAGAGCGGTCATTTTTAAAGCATGAAACATATTGTATCTCTTCTTTGCTTAAAACGGTCTGGTGACTTTTTCATCACACAGAATAAAACGCAGAGTTCTTTGCATGGTCTACCAGGTTTCACCTTAGCTAAATCTCGGACTTCATCTTTTACTACTTCCACACCGTCCCCGCTTCCTGCCGCCATTGTGTGCTCCACTATGTGCCACTGTTCCCTCCTCAGATCTTTGCAAGAGTTATTCCTTGTGCCTGTAATACTTTCCCCCGAAACATTTGTATGCCTTTCCCCCTTACTTCCTTAGCTCCTGACTATATTTTGGTAATATAGTTGCCAATAATCCAATATAAAATATCAGCCCTCATGACTGACATGTTCTTAGTTCACTGTATTTTTCTTCATAGTTCTCTTTACCACTTGACTGTGTGCGTGGAATGTATGAGTATATAGGTGTTGTCTGTATTTCTTGCTATAGTATAAGCTTCATGGAAGCAGGGGCTTTGCTAGTTTTGTTTACTCCAGAATTCACATCACCTGTAGAATATACATAGTCTGACATATGCACATATCAGACAGATAGAATATGCCACCTTCTTTGCTCCCTAAACATCACCTGGTCTGATGCCAATAAATATTGTTAAATACAGGTAGTTCCTATGGTGGCGTTCTGTTCTGTTACTTCTGTTTTAAGTTGGTCTGGTATAAGTTGAAGACCTTATTTTTTGTTTTGTTTTTATATTTTATTATAAGTATCGTTGTAGAGCCTATCTTTATTTGTCTTTGGGGGTTGGAAATCTTGCATATATATTTACAGATATGATGACATCAACAAATCGCAGCAATATTTGATGTGGTACATATTACTAATGATAAAATGCACCCCCCCCACCCCGCTCCCAAATAATCATCCCCCCAACACCAGATGGTTGTAAGTATAGTTTCTCATCATGCAAATATGAGGATAAGTGAAAAATAAAAATATTGTTACTAGGGTTATAGTTCATACATGCATGTGTTTATTCCAAAGAAACATGTTTAAACATGGCCCTGTGATCAGTGGATAGCAGGAGCAAGTGTTCTCAGTAATATCCATGGCTTCATTTTGTTCTGATGTGTAAAAGAAAAAAAAACACGTTTCAGTCAAAATAGCAGCACCCTGCCGGGCCAGCTACATTCCACAGAGAGGTCGGCTCGGGTCACTAGGACCGATATTGCAGATTCCAACGGGATCATCGGGATAGGTTTTCTTGAAGGGCACAGGATGAGCTTATTGGACTCGGGAGCTTATTGAAAAGAAAAATTTTTTTTGGAAAAGATATTTTAAGAAAATAATAAACTACTGTGTTAGTCTGGGTAGACTAGAGAAACAGATCCACGGACACTTATATGTGTATAAGAAGTGATAAAAATGTAAAATACTGAAAACCATTCTATTTGCCAATATGCCATCATACTGGTTAGCTGAAATGAATTAAAGCTCCATTGATGCTGAAGTGCCTTTAATTGTTTTTTCCTCTTTGACTTTGGGTTTTAGCCAAGTAGATAATTATAAATTTAGTAAACATTCACTGGGAACTAGTTTTTTGGTTTTTTTAAAAAATTAATTTTATTGGGGGCTCTTAACAGATCTTATCACCATCCATCCATCCATCCATCCATCCATCCATCCATCCATCCATCCATCCATCCATCC